TCCAGAAAAGCTGAAATGGCCTCCATCAGTGTTGTTAAAGGGCTGTTTCACCTTTATTATGACCAGCAGACCTTCACTAAAAGAACGGATCAAATGCTGCTCTGACAGCTAGTATAAAAAGAACTGTCTCTGCTACAAGATATGGGTTCAAACTGGAAGTTTCTGCTGTTTTACTGCAAATAAACACCAAAGAATGAGACTTCTGTTTTGTTGTGGTTTCACTCAGGTGAAAAAAGTGACCAAACCAGTTGCTTTATCAGGCCTAAACATTTAGCTTCAGCAGTTTGTGGGGAAAGATTCTTGTTTATTTAAGATGTTTGTGCTTTGTTAACAGTTTTTACGATCGTGAGTTTTATTTACAGAATCTATTTGGGTGCTTATCGTTTTAAAAAGTAGGTCATTTTTATGAATAAAAACATGGAAACGGTTATGGAAAAAGAGCTCCTGTCATCAGTGTTTTCTCAGACTTTGCTCTGTGGGGCTTTGCCTCCCTCTTGTGTCAGACTCCCAGTTTACACCTCCATCAGTTCAGATGCCTATCTGGGTTTGTCAGTGTTTGTTCACAGTCTGTTTACAGCTCATCGGGTGCTGAGACTTGCTGCCCCCCTTCTGAAAAGGCAAGAATCCTAATTCATTGTTCCGTAGTTTCTCAGGAAAGTGTAAAGTCAAATAAAACATAGTACATAGTTACAAAGGAAGAGCTTCTGTGGGTCTGGTACAGAGACTCATTTAAGATAACACTACCTTACTAATAACAAGGCGTGCTTGTCTGTACTTGTCTAGCAAAACCTTCGAACAGGAAGCAGCTCACCTGTCGTTACAGGTGTGGCATCAGTCAGCCGTCAGCTGTCACCTCTGAGCCTCGTCGAAGGTAAGTCCACTGGGACCACTACTATTAATCCTGCTGACGGAAAACTGAGCTGCAGTTTTCAGTGTACGGCTTTTTTTTTCCTGTTGTCCGGACTGTTATTTTTCCAGATGTTGGTTGGCTCTGAAAGCAGGATGGCAGAAAGAGCAGGAAAAGGACTCGAACCCAAACTAAATGATCCTTATGGAGCTGGAAATGTCCTGGATTTAAACAGAGGCTTTGGTGGGCCTAAACTTGCTGTGTCTGGGCTGAACTTGGAGCAGTGTTCAGATTCTACTGATGGATTTCTGTTTAAAGGAGAATTTAAAGTTTTAAACTCTCCTTTGATTTTATCTGGCCACTCTCAGTGGTGGAATTAGAAATAATTAAGATTAAATTTGAGTCCGATGTGTTTTTCTTTGTGACCTAAAATAGTTAAAGTAACTAAAAGTGCCTCAAAAGAAGCTTTAAACAGGACGGACTCAGATAGACGGTGACGTCACAGTGAAATATCGCGTTGTTCAGATCCAGGAAGTCTCAATGGTGAGTGCGTCTGTACAGTCACCGCCATTTTGTCGAGGTTGGATTCGCCCGTATTCTTTCATTCGGTGATCGAGAAAATTTCTCAATAGTTCAGCCTCAACACAGAGTTTGTCTGAACTAATTGGGCTGTAACAGGTGAATCAGAACCGGAGTGGAACAGGAATGTCTGCTTTACGGTTCCTGTTTCTGACTCTTTCGCTGGCTGTGGACTCCGTTTTCTCTGCTGAGGGTGAGTTTACATCATGAGGCGGAAACTAAACTAAACTGTATCACTTCTTGAAGAACGACCACAAAACACAAAACCTGACTAACGTTTGGAGACAAATGTAAACAAAGCTTCGGTTAATGTGGGAGCGGCTCTGACTTGGTAGCAGACGGTCAAGAGACGGACCGATCCGGTTAACTATCGGATAGTTTCTATCCGGATAGTTTCCATGCTAATTTGAACTGAAGAGTTTTGTAAATATTGGAAACAAACAGGACTGGGGGACCTCGTTGTGTTCAGTTTTTTATGATCGACTTAATTTCAGTAGCTGGAAGCCTCTCAGGGAGGATTAACCCGTTAATCATCCATCATTCCTGCATCTGATCCTTCACTTCGGTTTTCACTCATTTCTACTGATGGAGTTTCTCATTTAGTTTTTTAATTTTAAACATTTATTGTAAATACAGCAAAACATAGTCAGACTTTGTTTCATGGTAATAATTGGTCTCATTCATCTTTTAATTATGGGCCTCTATGCTGTGTCCTCCCTTCTGCTGTGGAGGTGCAGAGCTCCACTCTGAGCTCTTTAACCTCTCTGCTCTGTGTTGTTTCCTCTCTGCAGGACAGAGAATCAACATCAAAGCTGAAGCTGGACAGAACGTCACTCTGCCATGTGGAGCTGGAAAGGAGAAAATCCGAATTTCATTACTGGAGTGGACCAGACCTGGTCTAGAAAAGAAGGAAAAAATTCGTGTTTTCACATCCAGAAATGGTCACCCTGATCCAGACCTCCAGCATCCATCCTTCAGGAACCGGGTGTATCTGCAGGACGGACAGATGAAGGATGGAGACGCGTCTCTGAATCTGAACGACTTGAAGATAAATGATACAGCAACATATGAGTGTAGAGTCATTCAGAGAGAAGAAAAGACGGGGGAGAGATCTGTTCATCAAACCTCCATCCATCTGGAAGTTTCTCTTCCTCGTCCAGGTGAGTGTGTGTGTGTGTGTTCCTGCTTGTTGATGGTAGAGTGGAACATCTCAGATCAGGTGTTTGGGTTGTAAAGATGCTGCTGATGAGACTCTGTAGAAAGCAGCTGGTCTGAGTGCAGTGATCAGGGGGCAGGAGGTCATGTGGGACCAGCAGTTTGAAAAGAAAATGGATTCTGTTGTTCAGCCGTCAGCTGCTGACCGCTGACACTCACACCTGCTTCTCTCCTGCAGGGACCGAGGAGAGAGGAGGCAAGGAGGGAGGAGGCAAGGAGGGAGGAGGCAAGGAGGGAGGAGGCAAGGAGAGAGAAGGCAAGGAGGGAGGAGGCAAGGAGGGAGGAGGCAAGGAGAGAGGAGGATTTCTGGGTCTGACCCTCGGCCTCCTAGTTTTGGTCCTCTTTGTTGTTGTTGTTGTTGTTGCTGTGATCTATAAAGAAAAACCGTCCTGGTTTAAGTTGTGTTCCTGTCAGCCTCCAGCAGAACCAAAACCAGATGAGACTGAAATGTCTTAGCTCTCTTCCCCCTCTGAGCCTCCACCTGCTGACCCTAGCTCAACATCTGGGACTCAGACAGCCGCCAGCAGCCCTGAAATCCAGCTCATCCTGAATGAGACCTTCAGGTCTGAGAAGTCGAATCAAGGAGGGAGGAGGCAAGGACACAAGGATGGAGGACCTGCAGGTCGGGGACTTCCTGGTCTGGTTCTGGGTCTGGCTCCAAGAAGGGAGGAGGATCTCTGGGTCTGACCGTTGGCCTTACAGTTTCTATCTTCTGTGTATTAGTTGCTCTTGCTGCTTTGATCTATTACGGAAAGCCTGCCTGTTTACAGAGGAAGTCGCAGCATTTTCCAGTGGACCAAACAGAACCAGAGCAGATCTGAGTCCTCCTCCTGTTTCTGCTCCTCAGATCATCTAAGCGTGTAGAAACCCCAAAGAGCAGAACCCAAACAGAACTGGACTGTGTTCAGCTCCTCCCAGTATCTTAGTGGTTTCATTTCAGGAGCCTCTGACTCTGACCCCCCCAAACAGCTCAGAGACGATTAGACCCCCGTCCCAGAGCTTCACTGGAGTCGTTTCCTCCATTTGGTCTGAATCCAGACGCCCTCCTGTCTCCAGCAGCCCTTCAGTCCTCTGATGGTCAGCTGGGGTTTCCTCTGGGGGCTGGGCCTCCAACAGCCTCCTGTTTTTTTTATCACTGACTGAAGCGGTTAATTCGGTTTCTCTGTGTTTTTCTGTTTTGTTCTGTTACTGAATCAGTGTGACTGGTCATTAACCATTCAAATAAAGTACAAACATTTCTTACTTAAATGGTTCTGGTTGTCATTTTCATGCATTCCCTAGGCCGCAGCTCTATGGTTGACTTTGTTGTAGTTTCGGGTTCACATGTTTTGGACACTCTGGTGAAGAGGGGGCGGAGCTTTCCACTGACCACTACCTGGTGGTGAGTTGGCCCCAGTTGGGGGGGGGGCTTCCCAGAGCTTCCCAGATCTGCGGTCGCTTTTTTGGCCTGTGGGACTCCAGAGGCAGCCGATGGGTATCGACAGTCCAAGCGACATGCGGCTCAGGTGGTGCTGTTACGGAAATCAATATACGTATAATCACTTTCTTAATTTCTCTCTGGTAACTTTCCACAAGTGAATATCTTAAAGGTTCTTCTTCTTTCTCATGGGACTCATTCCTCCTTCTAGGTCTCAGAGAGGGTCTCCTTATGCTTTATCTCTGAATGTTTTGTGTGGAGGATTGTTTAATACAGGTGCAGGATGAAGGACAGACTTTACGTTTTATTTCAGACTCAGAGGGGTATAAAATGCACCATGATTTGTTTTACTTTGGGGCAGTTTGGTGCCTCACATGAACCACTCGTATGATCGTGCTGGCTGCTCTCACTTCATGAAGTTTTCCCTTTCCCTTTTTTCCTTTTAACAAATTTCCATTTCTTACTTCCTCAGATGGACTTTTGCTTTAAAATAAAATGTCCACAACAGTGGTGACCTCTGCGTTGTGTGCCAGGAGTCTGTCAGGTTTAGCACAGCCTAATTTGGTAAATGCACATCTTGTTCATCTGAACCACATCTGAAAAAGTGTTGGGACTGACTGAGGTTGAAGGAGTTTAGGTATTACAATCTGATCATTCTACTTCTACATGACTTCACCTTGTAGGAAAAAAAAAATACAGTTTGGATTATAAGGGAGGAAAAAGTCTAAGAAGATATTTGCTTGATATGGGCTGTATTTGATCATTTGTATGTGTGTCGAAACTGAGTTGAAAAGTAACTTGAACAGAGTTAGCATAGCGTTACCTTAAAATATCTATTGTGTTCCCACAATCCATGTTCACAGCCAATGTGAGGGCTAGTGGCGCAATGGATAACGCGTCTGACT